GGGGGAGAGAGAGGCCGCCGTTTTTCGTCCCCCTCATTTCTTGCCTCGGTCCAGGCGGCGCGTGGAGGGGAAGGGACGAGGTTCAGTTCCTGCCCCTCGCTTTCCCCTTTCGGATAGCCGCACACGGGGTGGGGGGAACTGGGCACCACCAAGCCAGGCTGCTTCTTCCTTCCTTCCTTATTCCCTCCCCTGCACACCTCAGCCTCTTCCTCATCCATCCATCCATCCATCCATCCCTGGGGGTGAGCCTTTGAGTGAGTCATCAGCGAGGGCACGCAATTAGACAATGTGTTGCTGTTAACTAACTTAGCAAGGCTGCTCATTTTTGGGGCCTTCAGAAATACTAACCTCGCGGGTTCCAGTCAGCGATACCTGTGAAGTGTTGCTTGGCGGGAGGGGGCGGCGGGGGTTGCCTGTGGGCGCGGGGGCTTCTGCTAACTCCATCTGTGTTCGCGGTTTTGCGTTTTGTAGGTCGCGCTGGCCAGATGTGAGCAGCAGCGTGCGAAGTGTAACCACCGTGTGGGTATGTGGCTGGCAGCCTGGCGAAGGGACTCCTCCGCATAAAGCGGTCCCGCTCTGGTGTCGAAGCCAAGATGCTGAGAAGCGGCCCTGCCTTCAACCCAGGCAGCAATGCTGCCTGGTACCCGGCTGCCAGCTCGCTCCCACATCTGCAGCCTCCTAACCGTGCGATTTTGGGTGGAAGTGCTAGACCTGGGGTTACTCGCTGCTGGGAGGTTGCAGTGAGCAGCTTTTGCTATGTTTTGCTCTTGCATTGGTTTTCTCGTGGCCTGTGGTGTTACGTGCATTGGACCCTGCCCTGTTCGTTTTGTTGTCTTGCAACTAATCTTGAAGGTGTTTCTAGAACTTTTTTTTTTATTGCAGACTTAAAATTATGTGACGGGGGCCAGGCTTTGGCCTGCAGTATGCCATGTACTGTTGGGTATTACTGATTTCTTCCTGTCGCTCTGATGCTGGGAAATGTCAGTAGTTCGTAATTTTTCTCAGGAGGAAGTGGATTTTATGTATTTTGCACAAACAGGCGTGGTGGTTTATTAACAGGAACCCTGTAATATTCCTTCTAGAAATTATTAGTCCTTACAGAAATTACTGGTAAATGCTAAAAACCTAGGAATGACAGCTAGTCGAGAAGAGTACTTCTCTGTGTAGGCTTTAAGTGGTTTTGCCACTAGCTGACTATATCTTTATACATCCTAGGTACAGATCAACTGCTTATAAGTTCCTAGAAATTATACAAATGAATGCTTTGCAGTCTATGAATGCAAAGCACAATATACACGCAAAATATGTGTGTGTGTATGTGAAGGGGAGGTAAGAACCTGATGTTGCGGACAACCAAGTTTGCTGTACAGCATTAGTATTAATGATTTATTGTGAGACATTTGATTTCCTAAGAGTGAATCTGTTTCAAGGTTTGCAGTAATGCTGGTGATATGCTTAAATTTTCTTTTGAAGTCTTTGATCTAACTCCCACATCATTCTCTTTCTCTGTACAGGCCTCTCTTTCCCTTTGGCTTAAGGCACTGCACCCTTTGCAGTGCTAACTTACTTGGCAGAGTGCAGTGCACCCTCCCTTTCTCCCTTTTTGCGTATCTTTCTTCATTGTTGGCCAGAGCCAAGTGGCATGGAAGGCAGTGTCAGTCTTTCTGTTAACTTTGGTGGACTTTGCACAGGCTCATATTTGCGTGATACTAATATGCAAATCAGATTTTACTTTATTTTCGTTCCTTTTTGTCTTGCGTATTGTTGCTGTGTAGATGGGAATGCTGATGTTAAAAGTAGCATTTCCAACTGTAACAGTATTTATTTATGGCTTTCTGAAAGCCCCATCTCTGTGTCCTGTGAAAATGTTACGTTTCATTTAGATAAAGCAATTTTTAGCCATGATGATTCTGAAGAAAAGCTTGAGGTGTAACCAGAATATGGTAAAGAGGCAGGAGGAAAAACTCAGTCATGTCTCTGAGAAATAAACAAGAAATCCCTCTATGCTTTACTGGCATTTTACTTGTGATTTTCAAATATATGGATTTGGAAACATTGCTTAGGGTTTAACAGGATTCAGTAGCCTTTAGATTATTTGCTAAGCCTCTGAGTGTCATAACCAACTGAATTACTCTCATGGGCTCAATTTTGAATAACATAGAATGGAGCTGTCTGAAACTTGATTAGTCAATTAGTAACTTGTCAGTATAAGCAAGCTGTAATTTAGTAAGCTACAAGTGTTTTAAGAATTAGTTACATAAAATAGTCTAGAGTAACACTGAACATTGTTCATGTTATTGCTGTTCTGATGTGATGCCCTCAAGCAGTGAGACCAGCTAGACAGTGTCTTTCTAGGTCATTATCGCAAGGGTGTTTTAAGGCATGAGGCCAAACCCAAGCAGTGTAATTATACTGTAGAAACTAATTGAGTTGATGCTCTTGTTGCAATTGTGAAATATCCAAACATGTAGATATACAAAGTATGTAAAGAAAAGGAAACTAGTTAGGCCTATGTTCTCATGGAACCAGGCAGTAGTGACTCAGTTACGAACTTATCTGGAGCTGATCAGAAAACTGCATGTCAAAGGTACTGAAAATGATATCGATTAGATCTGCAATCTGTGTTTCAGATACTTGGCATTCATAGTGCTACATGTAATCATTATTAATTTGAAGTACTAATCTTAGTACGTGTTCATTTGCAAGCTAACGCAGAATAAATTTCTATTTATATATAATCTTTGGCTTTTCTCTACCCCTGTATTTTGCATACGTTTGAAGTATTACGTTTGATTACGATCAGACATTCACAGAGTCAACTGCAAAGTTTTTAGTTCACACAGCTCCTTAAACGGTCACAGATGAAGTAACAGTAATGGTAAAAATAGGCCAAGAGCTTGTATGGAAGAGGTCATTTGAAGCACCTGGGTATTGGCCTAACTCTTGTTAATGTCTCTCAGGTAAGTCATAAGAATTATCAATACAGCTCTCCAGTGTTAAGTGCTTTTAAAAATCATGTGCTTAAGTTGCGAAGAAAAATGAGTATTTTCAAGTAAACAAGAATACATTTCAGCGGAAACCTCTTGCGCATCATCTGTGACTGTGAGATTTCTGAAAGAAGTTGGTGTCCTGAACGTTACTGACTTACTGTTAGACCTACTTCTTAAGAGCTAATTTTCATGGTTGTAACTTACATTAAAGCTGTGGCTGTTTTTCTGTAGTTTTTCCTTGTGCTAGATGTTGTGCAAATAAGCAACAATGGAGGTAGACATTTCCTGCTCTAGAAGATTTAGACTTATGATGGCAAACTGTGATTTCAGAAAGGAGAGGAACAATAAGAATTGGAGAAAATTCTTATAATCTCAGCTATGTATTTGGCTAGTCATTCTTCATTAGGAATTTTTGATACATACATTGATGCCCTAACTCGAGGGCAGCAATGGGGCAAAGTATGAAATGCCTGATATGCCAGAATGTTCAGTTAAGGTCACGGTGGAACCATATTATGAAATGATTTTAATTGTATTTCAAATAGTGAACTAAACACAGCTCAGGGTGATGTGAAAGGAGGAGGATCGGTGTAATCAGTGTGATAGGTTGGGAAGATGATGCCGTCTTGACAGGAGTTGAACAGATGGAGGCAGGTGAAGGTCTAGAGAGAGAAATTATACCCAGGAAAGTACCGCCTTCTTACCGTTAGCTTTAAACTATAAACTTGGTTGTGCTTTACAGAGAATCCAACTGCATTAGCGAAACCTTAAATTTTAAGTTACTTTAGATGGAACTAAAGGTAGATGGGAACCATGAGGGCTAATAGATTTGCTTGTTGGCAAATGAGCAGTAAAGCATACTGGCAGAACTAACTTGACATCTGCGTATTCATATAGAAATGTTATATTCTTCAGGAAAAAGTAAAATGCTGAGTAAGTTACAGGTTGAGGTCTGTTCATCTTTGCATGCTGGAGTCAAGTATGTAAGTTCCTAATGACTTGAAGCCGTTTTTTATCACAAGACTTGCAAGCACACCTTATATTTCCTTCACTGAAAATTGTGGTTACTGCAGGAAGGTCATGGTCATTAAATTGCATGTCTATACAATTATTAAATAATTGGTGTGGAAGATTCAGAACACTACTAAAATGATGCATTTTGAAAAAAATAATTGCTAGTCCAAACAAAGGTTTGGTTACAGGAGCCAGATTCTGGAAGCTATGGAAACTTTGCTGTTAGTTACAGGTTGTCTGGTCTTTACACTGTTTTGTTAAAGCATTTTTAGGAAGGAAGAAAAAGTCATTGGTCCTTAATTTGCAGTGCCATTAAACTGCCAAATGTGGCATGGAGTTCTGCAAAAAGTGCTGCGCGTTCAATTCAGAGGGAGGTGGGCATATGCATTAGATTAATTTTCCCTGCTTTCTTGGTTAAAAATAAATAAATCACTTCTGGGGAAGGACAGAGCTCTGATTAGACTCAGTTAGAAACTATGAGAAGTGTTTGTAAACATCTCCAGATGTGGAGGCATACCTCTTATGTAAGATTATGCTGTATGTTTCTCAATCTCAAATAAAATAGTTACATCTGTGTATTAATATTCTTTCAGTAGTCCAGACCATTCTGTGGTCTGTTTCAGAAGAGGCTTAAATAACTGTCATGTCTAACTCATGGATGGACAAATAATAGCTTAAAATACGAGGACATGCAGAGTAATTTTAAGTAAAATACAGCGGCTGTTATGCAGAAAAGAGTCAGAAGGTTATGCTTTAGTCTGTAGTTGGTTAGTGACTTTTCTTTCCCTGCAGTCAGTAGGGGAGAGTTGTGCTTGTTTACTGCTTTCATTTAAGGTCTTTGGTAAAATTAATGCACAAAGATACTTTCTTATGAGATGTAGAAGTGAACATTAAGGATTATTTTATCTCCACGGATGCAGAACAGGGCAGTTTTAAAGATAAAATCAATAAGATGCATTTTATTCTTTGGACCAAAGTCTATGCTTACATGTATTTGAAAATTTGTTTTACCCTTTGTTATCAGATACGCGTGTTTCTTCTGTAACTTCTAAATGGGAATGAATGACTGAGTTGTCTTACAAGTGGAAAGGGGGAAATGATGTTCAATTGTATTCCTTATATTTGTGTGGGCTTTCCAAGCATGTTTCATTCCAAGAAAGAGTGTCACGGTTAAAGATGAGATGCTTATTTGTCTGGGTGGTGAAAGCTGAGCTGTGCATTGACAGCTGTAAGATGAATATTTCTTTCTGGTATTCACTTTAAAATAAAACTATCATAAGCATCCAGTCTATCAGGTAATAAATGGAAGCAGCAGCAGCAGATGTAATGTGTTATCCTTAGCATGAATAGTGCATGCATTCCACTTCGTGATACTTGTTAATTAATTAAAAAAATGAAAGAAAGCTGAGATTGCATCCCTAGCTTTGAACAATGTTATTGTGTGCAGACCTGATGCAGATGTGTCACTGCCTGCCCACAGATTGCTTCTAATTCCTGGATTTGGTCTGGCCGTTCCTTGAAAGTTTGTGCCTTTGCTTTATCTGCTTGGCTTTTAAGAGGCCGTGTCTAGGGAATATGGAAGTTATCTTACTGCCTATAAGCAAAGCCATTTCTCAGTTGTTACACAAGAAGCTGATGTTTTGGACCTGAACAGGTTCGAGGATGATAAAGGAGTTTCATTATACATTTTGAATCATAAATGTGTTGTAAAATCTAGGTCATCCGTGCACTGTGCTTATCTGAGACCCTTTAGAGTGTTTCTACTTCCAGCCTGCTTGAACAGCTCAGGTGAACTTAAGGACTTAATACTCTAGTGTTTTAATTTTCAGTTATTCCATGCTACTGGGAGAGTGGGTGATCAGCAAAACAATATATGTACTCCAGTATTTGGTTATGGGTTACTGGATTTTTTTAACATTTATTTATTTATTTTATAATTTTGAGCATACACTTAGAAAGCCAGTCTTGCATGTGTTCAACAGGGTTTATGGTTGTGTTTTTGTTTTTTTAAAATAAGTGCACTAACAAAAATCTGTATTTCCTGTAGTTAATTAAGTTCTTACATCTCCAGTCCTAGAAGACTGTTATCTTACACTCTCTTGTCTGCTGGTGAGGCCACGCATGCAGTAAAATACTCAGTGGTAACAGACTAGTTAGTCTAATTGCTCTGAAGTAGAGGGTGTGAAAACAAAAGCATTAACTTTAATTTTGTGTTAATTCATAGTCATCTTGGCTTTTATTACCTTCCTGTCTTGTTTGGGTTTATATAGATGAAAATATGTCAGTCTTTAAATTTTTGCATGATTTCAGGTTATTTGCAAAATGTATTTATGAAAGACAAGAAAAGAGGACTGATGCAGTAACCACATTAGATGTATGTTTGATGCATTAAGCCATCATAACAGTAAATTCTACTCTAATGTGTTATTTAATGTAAGAATTTATGCGGGGACACTGCTTTTTTGGGTAATTCTACACCTTCTTTAGCCTGTAACAGACATGAGAAAATCTGTGAGACTCCACTTTTGTTTTAAACTGACCCAGTTTAGACTTATGTCCTTTTTTTTTTTTTGTGAAGTGAAAGCTGTAGTAATATTAACGTTTGCTCCTCCTGATTGAGTTTAGATCAACTATTGAACAGATGTATTGGAGGACTGTTCTGTAGCGTCTGTTTGGATGCACCCTTCTCTTAGATCCTCATGTGACATTTTGGCATTGGTGGTTGGTGAAAGTATTTGAGTAATATTTCAAAAGACAGAGGTGTTGACTGTGTGTGTATACATATATTTTAAGACTGCTTATGTATGTCCCAAATGATATGAAATAGCTCTGAGATTTGGTGCTCTACAGTTATAGGCTAGATGTATAGCCTGTACATTAAATTCAAGTTTTAGGAGCAGTAGAATTTCAATTCTTAAATGTCTCTCAACTGGATCTTGAATAAATAGATGGATTATACAGATAGCGTATTGATTGGACCACCATCAATGTGAATTAGTATTGCTTGGTAATTTCAGAGTGAATATGGATATGAAGGATGGCTATGAAATGGAAGTCTGCCCAACTGTCTTACCTTGGTAAGAAGGATGGGCCTAAACTTGACAAGAAGTGGCAGAATTTGTTTCCCTCAATGGAGAACTCTTTTTTTTATTCTGCTGATTCATATGGAACAAGTACTGTTTTCTGTTGTGACTCTTTAATGTAAAAGATGTTGAGATTACAGGAGATGCTTTTAGATATTCATATTAATGAATATATATCTTTTAGTGCATATTTTTTATTATACATTTGATGGCAATATTTTACTTATGGGAAAATAATTTGTAAAAGCTGGACCTATTTGGGTAGGAACTCATAATTACTAGTCCAAATAGTGTTAATCAGAAGTTATATTCTTGCTAGAGTTCACGATTAAAATATGACATGTTGAAATAATCTGTGACCTAATCTGAACATCTGAATTCATTTTGTAGAATATGGCAAACAGCTGCATTTCAGTTTGGAGCTAAAACAAATACAGTATATTGACCCATTGAAGATTATAGTAGGCTTTTCAGTTCCACGTTAGCTGTACTTATTGAAGAAAATTGATTTGAGAGTGCTTCTGCTTTTGAATGATTTTTTTTTTTAATGTCCGGAAGAAAGGAAATAGAACATACGGACGATGGTACTTTGATGTGTAAAGAAGTTAATTATCTAAACCATCAAACAAAACGTGGGCTGTGGAAGTAATTATTGTAAAGGGTCTGATGAAGCCTGACAAGCTGTTGGTTTTTTCTGTCAAGAAAATGCTGTACACCTGCTTGATTTGAAAGTTAAATCATTTGCTTGCAATAGGAGGACCAAGTTTTTAGTGAAGCAGTAGCCGATAAGCTTTCAGTTCTCAAACCTACTGATACTTATACAGATGCACAGCCCTCCATGTTTTTTTAATCAAACTGTTCTTGTCCACTTGGAGGGCAGGAACCTTAAAAAGTATTTACTCCAAAATAGAACATGCATGAATCGCAAATGTTAGGCTGTGAGGAGGCAACTATGGAATTGTCCCATGTTTTTTTGAATTTTGGGAGAATGCTTCATAAATTAGCAGAACAGAACCTCATGGATAAGGCAAAATGTCTGTCCAGGATTTAAAAAAAAAAAAAGGGCAAAAAAAAAAAGCCATATGCTTTAAATGATGTAGTTAGTTGAAAAAAAAATTAAACTTAAAAACCTTAGGTCTTTGTATGTTATTCAGCTTTTAAACTTTAAGGCACATATGATTGGTATGTTTCAGGATTTTTTTTCTACAGCTGTTTTAAAAAGTATTAACTGAGGCATTCCCCTAACTACTTTCTCTAGGGTCTGGGTAAAATATAGAATTTACAGTGTATTAATTTATACTTAGGCATATTGATACTGTGATACTGCATATAAATATATAGCTACTAAAATGAATCGTAATCAGTCCCAATCAAATAATGAACAGTAAAACACGTATAAATTTCCAAATCTTTGGGCTGTTCCTGGGTACCATTGCAGCTTCCTCTTTACTCCCTTCCATGTGTACATAGAGCTTTCCTAGAAATACTCTGTCACCTTCCTTCATGTTATAGGGTTTTTTTTTTTTAAAAACTCACTAACTTGACTGTTTAGATCATATGACTCTGGTAACTGCTGATTATGGCAGAATCCTGCCAACACTTAAGCCTGGTGTGTAACTACTCATGATTAAAATCAGACTTCAGTGGGAGTAAACTTGTGATTAAAGTTACACATGTGCATAAGTGCTCGCAGGATGGGGACCTAAATTAGAATCTGCTTGAAGATGAACAGAAGTCTCTGAAAATCTACTTGAAGCATTAATAAAAAAATAAACTTATATCTAAATGCATAAACTTATTATTTTTGTTGTTCATCCTTATGCTGTAAGGTCATTAACCTTTCAAAACACTAATTCTTTTACTGTTTGAAAAGATCTTACGCTTTGTATTTAAAGTATTACAAGTTTTCTTAAACCAAAACATAATATTTGTGATTGATTGCAATGCTTTTAATGGCATTTAATATAAAACTGGTCATGTACTTTTTAGATTTCTTTTCTAAAAAACAATCCATCTTAACTGTAAAATTTAGAAGTGGGGAAAGTTAGGATCTCTTTAGAGGTCTTACAGCAAAGCAAACTATATTAACATATGGTTTTCATTGTCATTACTACTGCTAGTACTAATAGTACAAGAAATGATCAGTACAACTCAACTGTTACTAGTGTGCAGCAAACTAGAAGAGGAAGAAATGTAGTAGGAATATATCCTGTTTATCAGGAGACTCACATAGTGTGTGCAATTTTTTGTTAAAAAAATTCTTGAAGGGAAAAACAAAACTCCCTATTCTATATTTATAGAGTTTTCCATAATTAGGTAAATTTTGATTTGTCAGTGTTTTAGTAAATGAAGTTACTTTTAAAAATTATTTAAAGGCATTTGACTTGCCTTTTATTGAAGAGGAAAATGTAGATGCGTTGGTTAATTCATAGAATAAGAGTAGAACTGTCCTGGGTTTGGTTTGGAGTTTTTAATAAGAAATTTGTATAGAAAAGCCGTAAAACATTTTCTATAAAGATAGAGTGGGACCTGATCATCATCATCATAATACTTATATGACTAAAGGTACTTTCTCATGCATTTCTGTTTTGAAGACTTAAGTAATATATGTACATAAAGCTGATGCTTTAGAAAGGAAGCTTGTGATCTTGGTGCTTATCAAGTTTTATCTGGCTTTTTCTGAGATTCTGTGTTACTCCTCTTAGTCTCAGTGGAGACAGTATGGATGTGATTTACTAGTGCTTAGGATACCACAGGAATATAAAAGGATGATTTGGGTATCAAGATACTGGTGTCTGAGTACCATGTATTCCAGAATAACAGTGTTTTTATCTTAATACTTTTCCATTGGTGCTCCTAGGGTACTTCTAAATGGGTTGCTGAGATGATATTTTTAAAAACAGCACACACTTCCAATACTTTGGTTACAGTAAGCATTAACTCTCTTTTATGTTTTCTACAGTGTCTCCGATAGGCTTCTTTTTGCATGCAGAGTCTTTGCATTCAAGTCTACCCCACAAAGCTTTTCTTCCCTTTTGAATATCTAGTGTGAAGCATACATATGCTCTCTTTAAAATATAAGTATTTTAAGTGCTGTTATTTCTTTGTTTACTCAGATGAGCAGCACTGTGGCTAGCCCGATGTCAACGATTGCCTCTTCAAGCGGTGGAAGAAAATCGACAAGCTTTACGCCTGAATTGCAAAGTATGATGTAAGTAATCAGTCAAAATATCTGGCAATATCTACATTTTGTATGCATCTTTTAGATGGTTTCTTAGAATGTGTGTATGGGTGATGGGGAAAGAAGAGCAGGTATTAGTGATGGAACTGTTAGTATTTTACCTCTGATTTGTAAAACATTCAGAGGTGAGTTAGATAAATAAAAAACACATGCTGTATTGAAAGGAGAGAAAGTCCTGCTGAGTAAAGAAATGCGTTTTTAATATTACTTTAGAAGTCATTAGAGACCTATATTTCTCAGTACTTCATCAAAGCAAGCTAAGTTTCCTGTTGTCATATATGCTTATTTAAAATAAATATTTTGTATTACCATCTTTCAGTGCTAATGCAGAGAGGTAGACTGCTGAGATCATAATATTGCTGATGAAATTAAGATATGGAACAGTTGTAAATAACTGGGTTTTGGCAGATAGGAAGTGAAGTTGTTAAAAAGATAAGGTACTTGTTTTAAATTAACAGTGGGTTCTTAGAAACCCAGCTGTGATATTACATGATTTTGTAGTTTACAACTTCTAAAACCTTGAATGTTACTTAAACAGGTGGGTTTTGTCAGTCTTAAAGATACTTGCATAATCAGAAGGATTCCTTCTGTAGAAGAAGTCTTTTTCTTGACTGGTAACCTAGTACACTGGGCTGACAGCAAATCTTCATTTTGTGGAAAGCAACATACTCATAAAAAAATTTCACCCGCCGCTATATGGCATTTTTTCCCCTTTCCATGTGTACCCAAGACACTGTACTGTCAGGATGGGGGCAGGGGGGAAGTAATGAGCTCGTTTCCGTGTGGGTTCATGCTCCTGATTTATCAAACACTTTAAAGAATATTTCAACCTAGAGCTAAAAGACAGCTAACCTCTAAGGCTGCCGATAGCTTGGCTGTAGTGGCTCATGTCTAAATTGTACATTTTCTAAAAATATATGATTATGAATGTTACTTATGGGGAGGGGAGAGGATGTACATTTGCCAATTGCTGAGGTCAGCTGCACATAAAAGGGAGCTTTGCTTTATGAAATCTTGCAAAAGTGTCTTAAAGGATTTTTCCCTATGTTCATTTGTCAGAGTTGAAAATGAAACGAAGAAAGCTAGTCCCAGAGTACTGAGACATAAATCCGTGGTTTCAAAAGATAGTGGTAATCATTGGCTCTTTTCACTAGTCTTAGCTCTGGAAGACTGTCCAGGATGTTGTTTAAGATAGAATGAGGTAAAGTAGGATGAACTTAACGGGGAATTAATTTTGGGCTACTGATCTTTACTTTGGCAAGATCATTGAAAACTCTCAATATTTGAGAGCTTCTTTCTACAGTGTTGCTTCATATTTTTTGTATTAATTTTTCATCAGCTATATGAAAATCAAAGTAGTTACAGCATCCTAAAGGTCATTAATTGTTGAATATCTATTAATTTGTTTGCAGGTGGCTTTTAATGTATTACCTTGTGCAAGTTAATTTTTAGACAGTCTTATCTGAAATGTTCTACTCTCCTCCTTCCCCTTTCCATTGTGTTAGAGCTGAAGATTAGGACGGGGAGAATGTTAAAAGCTTTATTTTTATTTATATATTTATAAATACATATATAAAAATATTTTTTTCTGCCAGTTGTCTTGCATAACCATGAAGAAGTTGAAGTATTTTAAGCCTCCACAGATAACTATTTACCTGCATAAAAACTGCATTTGACTTTTTAACATAATGGAAATATTTGACATTTTTGTATTGCTATATCACATTAGATACACTCTTTGTTTTTACTTCTTTTGTACTTGTGAAGGAGTTCATTAGGAGCGAAAGGGTGTTTTAAGTCACTTTAGGCTGCATTTGAACTGCCTTTTGTTTTGTTTTGGTCAGTTATGGACATGACAATGCAAGTCCCCCTGCTTTCCCAGCTCTCTCACACCCAACCTGTTCCTAACAGTCTCCTCTGGCTCCTCACTGCTACTTTTAGGAGATACAGGATTTTACGCAGATGAAATGATGGTGAGAAGAATGCTGTCTTGCTTGTGCCATCATACATTGTACATTCACCTTCACTGTTGTGGAACACTTTCTGATTTGAATTGCTATGTGGGCAGTAGATATGAAAGGAATTACTTGCCTCTGTTGAATTCTACGAAGAGTTCCCTGTCCAAAAGTAGAAGACGCAATTTGTTTTCAGTTAAATGTCCTTAAGAGAATTCTAGATTGTTAAGTAGAGCATGGGATACATTCCACTAGAGTATTTTTCAGTATAATGTAAATGAGATAATGAACTGTTTCCTGTGCATTGAATCTTCAAAAGTAGACGAGTACTTTGTTACAAACCCAGTGGTTTGCTGTATTGAGTTCTTTTCAGATAGAAAAATATTAGTTCTCTCTTTCAAGAGAATTCTGTTTAGTTATTGTTCACATCTATTAGTCATCTACGCTGGAAAATAGAAGTGTTCTTGGTGGAGAAAATAACTGTAACTGTGTTTAAAAAACAAAAAAACAGCTGTGAAGTTTGGAGTTAAAGAAGCCTGTGCATCAATTTGGATCAGTATCTGGGGAGCCTGCATTTTATTTAATCGTGGACTTCCTGATAAAGTATTTTGAAACTCCCCTCCCTGCCAGTACACACATGATTCTGTCAGAATGTAGAAGTTATTGTTGGCCATATAAATGGAAGAAGTAGACATTTTCCTTTTGCTTCAGAACTGGTGCAGTTACACTTTGAAAGCTATGCAAACAGATCTTCTGTGCTTTAGAGCACCAGTTTTCACAGTTTCATTAAACTAGTAGGAACTGAAGAAATTCCTTGAATGTAATGAGCACATTGAAAGTTACATTTTTATTGTTTGCTGGGAAAAAAGGAGACTTGAAATGATAAAGTGCCAGGGATGAACCATGTGGAGAAAAAATGACAGCTGTTTCTGTTGGCCAGGACCACAAAATGAAGCTACCACTTTAAAAGAACTTTCCAGGCTCTTACAGAAGCTGACATTTTTTAAAAAGTACATAATTTAGGAAGTTACAGATTCTCCCATTTAGGCAATTTATAACAAATCCATGCTGACATCTTAAGATCCTGGGAAATAGTAAAGGCTGGAGCATTACAGTGCAAAAAAGGTAACAACTTTCTTAAAGAAAAGAAAACAGAGACTATCTTTGCATAGCTTGTTATTGTGAAGTTGAGTAGGATCACCTATTTCCTCTGGAGTGTCATCCATATGGAGTAATATGAAGAGTAACTTCAACTTGTCCTGCCTTTCTCAACAAAAAAAATGTGTGCAGCACGAAGATGAACTTGTGAGAAATAAGTCATACAGGGACATTGGGTGCTAATCCAGAATGGCATTTGGTAGCTTGTGCTGATGTTAAAAAATGGGCTGTTGGATTGTAGGGACTTAAAAGGCAGGCGGAAAGTAGAGAAACTAGCTTTTTGAAGTAGAAGATCAAATCCTGTTATAACCCAGTAGTGAGATCTGGAAGTCTGTGGATAACAGTGCCTCACAGTCTGAAGGTGGTATCTTTTGATTAGTTTATAATTTACGGCACTTAAGTGTTGAGTCAGGGTTTGATTCCCCAGAATGCTTAAATTTATATGTGGCATTAAGCTTGTGAGTAATCCCATGTAAGGTGAGGAGGTTATTCATATGCTATGTCTGTTATGTATGCTACACCTATTTCTGAACCACAGCATTAGAGAATGAGCTGAATCCTTTTGTGGAATTGTGTTTTTATGATAAGCTCACAAAAATTTTTCTGCTGTATTTGGGAAGGCAGGAAATATATGGGAGTCCTGAAATGAAATCCCAAAATACCGCAGAAAAGCTGTCTTAAAATATGTAAAAGTTCTTCATAGTATACATATATATATATTTACAAATAAAATGGTTCTGTATTTCCACTGATTAAGAATATTTAAAATATTTACTTGGATTTTAAGTGATTTTTGTTTGTCAGAAAAAAAATCTGTTCTGTACAATGTCTAATGCCTGCGTAAATAGTATTAAGTATAACTGGTGATAGTACTTAATATGCTGATTACCTTAAGAGGAATGCAGATTTAATTAAAAATATCAGACTGTCACAGACCACCCAAACACATGTCAATTTACAGTGCACTACCTTTTACATGGATATGTTTGGCTTTTAGTTGTTAAGACCTTGGAATTATTTGATATTTATCTTATAATCACTTAAAAGAGCATAATGCCATTTAGATTTTGCTTTGACTCCCACATCACTTATTTGTATTTGGATATTTTATTATGTTACCATAGAACTTAAAGCAGTAGGTGTTAATAATTTTAAAAAAGTTTTCAGCACGTCTAGTGTGTTTTGCTGAGGTCTGTTTTACAAAGCTTCATTTGGCTGATCTACAACCTGTTTCCAAACTAACTGCTAACCTTAGGTCAGTTGCACTTAAATTATAGTTCTGCCCAGTAGATTCACAATCACGATGATTTCACAGTAGCCGTTAAAACTTGTAATTTGGTTGAGGTCATCTATTTTGTAATATAAGCACTACTTATAGAGCGAATTTCTGGAAACTGTGAGGTTCTGAACACTTGTGTTGAACAATTTGCAGGTGGAGAGAGGTTTGTGAAACATCTTGATTTTTCTAAGCTATTTTAACTACTTACAAAACTACTAATTACTGCAACTTGAAGTTAATTGAGAAGTTGTTTTTATTGATTCAGTGTGGTTCCCCCTCCCAGTCCCCAAAAACTCATATACAGAGGGAACAGAGGCCATACTCAAGATTAGTTTAGGTTATCAATGGAATACTTCTAAAAATCATGTGAGTAAAATTTTCCAATGGCAAACATATATTTAAAACTAATACAAATCAAACAATTCAGTTTCCTACACCCTACAACTTGATGCTGCAGGTGACCCAGTGTTTAGTTTTGCATGTTTCAGTAATTTTATGACAGCTAAACATTTGTAGGATTGGGCTCCAAACTGATGATAAATCTTTGAATGATATTGTATAAAGTACTAGTTAGTTAA